CAGGCTGTAGGTCAGGTCTAGGGCTGTCAGACTGTCTCCCAGTTAATACAGAGTGTCCCTGCACACTCCTGCTCGTGAGCAGTGGGGGGACACGTGGCTGTCACCATTGGGGTAACCCCCCTTTCGCGTCTGCAGTGCGTCGGAACATGCTGGACTTCCCCCAGCACGTGTCTCCCTGCAAGGACATCCGTGCAGCGAGCACCGAGGCCGACAAGAAGCTCTCGGAGTTCGACGTGGAGATGAGCATGAGGCAGGACGTGTACCAGCGGATTGTCTGGCTGCAGGTGTGTGCTCGGGAACATGCTCAGTGACCGCCTGCGGGTCAAAAAGGTTCAGCATCTGAGCGGGGAGCTGAAGCCTCCAGGAATTGCAAAAAAAAACCCTCTTTTCTCTTGTCCCAGAACTTAGAACCGAATGGTATTAAATAAGGTCTGTAGTCAGGATGGTCCTGTTAGAGTGAGTACAGGGGAGTTGGGTTTTGGGGTTCTGGTTTGGGGCTTTGATAACTGCTGGTAAAATGGCATTAGTAACCCTGACGTGCCTCGTTCAGGCTGGGGAATACCCTGGAAAGCGCTGTGATATCCCTGTGCTCACAGATTCTGTTTTACAGGAGAAATCAGAGAGTGCTTCTCTGAAGCCTGAAGCAAAGAGATATCTTGAGAGGCTGATCAAACTGGGTAAAAGAAACGGCCTTCATCTCCCAGAGGAAACGCAGGAGGTGAGGCCAAGAACCTTAAAACAAGCACCTGTAGAAGGGGCCTTGCAGTCTTAATGGGGCAGTTAATGCCCCATTTAATGCAGTTAATGCCCCCCCCAGTTAATGGGGCAGTTAGAGCAGACCCACGGGACTGGACAAGCTGGGGGCCACCTCTGTTCCCTCCTTTGTCCTTTCTGTTGGATGGGGTGAGCGGACTGGGCTGGCCTTGGCTGAGGTGCTCAGGGGCTCCCTCTTCTCATGAGCCACTGGCTCAGTGAAGGAGCTTGAAGCTGGCTTAAAAATAGAAGAGAAGGTGAAATGAAATAAGGGTAGAGGAGGCCGCTGCTTAAACACCTGCAGCTCCTGAGCTGGCAGGAGAGGCTGGGACCTTGCTGAGGTGGTTGCTTTCCTATGAGGCATGATCAAAGGGAGCCTGTTCTAGGATAAGAGCGCAGTGCCTGTATGCAATTAATTCTGCAGTGCTGTGCTTGAATATAAGCCAACTGCAGAGTAGTGGGTAACTCAGCAGGCAAACTGCTGGCTAGGAGTGGTGAACGGCGCTGTTTGACTTCCCCCTTTGGACTGACTTTGCTCTGTTCATCTCTATTTTAAAGAAAATCAAAGCTATTAAGAAAAAGCTGAGCATCCTTTGCATAGACTTCAACAAGAACCTCAATGAAGATACCACCTACCTGCCCTTCTCAAAGGAAGAATTAGGTATGGAGTTTATATCTCTTGGGCCTAATTCTCTCTGAAGCTGGGCCCTGCCTGCCTCAGTCCTGGCAAGGCCATGCTGGGGCTCTTCTCTGCACCTGGATGCAAGTGAATGAGGGTGTTCAGCGGTCAATAGCCATGCACCAACTGAGCTCTTTTCTCAGGGGGGCTCCCTGAGGACTTCCTGAACTCCCTGGAGAAGACGGAGGATGGCAAGCTGAAAGTCACCTTGAAATACCCCCATTATTTCCCTCTGCTGAAGAAGTGCTACGTGCCTGAGACAAGGAGGAAGGTGGAGGAAATGTTCAATTCCAGGTGCAAAGAGGTAGGTGGCCCTGCTGCCTGCTAGCGAGGCTGCGTGGTGGGGCGAGTCAGGGCTCTTCCACGTGTGGATCCACTGGTGTTGAGGACAGCAGTGCTCAGTGGTGCAGGGAGAGCCCGTCCTACTCGGATCGCTGCAGGAGGGAGATCGCAGCGTGCAGAGACAACACGGTTGGTAGAACTAGGGAGGAAGACGAGGGTTAGAGCAAGCTGTGATGGCAACTTCCCTCAGCCTGTGGTAAAGAGATTCCCTGGTTCTGGTCCAGTGAAGGATTCTGAAAGTTTACTAGGCGTTGGAGGGATCTAATGCAATATTTTGTTACTTTACATATTGCGGCTTGTGATTCCTTTCTTGCCTATGTATCCTGCTGCGCTCTTCATCTGGCTCTGTGTTGCAGGAGAACTGCCTGATCCTCAAGGAGCTGGTGGACTTGCGGGCTCAGAAAGCTGGTCTCCTGGGCTTCAACACGCACGCCGACTTCGTGCTGGAGATGAACATGGCTAAAAGTAGCCAAATGGTGGCCACTTTCCTGGGTAGGGCACGGGGCTGTGGAAGGGCAGGATGGGGCATGTGCTGCGCTCACCACTTGGGATTGCATCAATGCCTGGGACATGCGCTACTACATGAATCAGGTGGAGGAGACCAAGTACAGCGTGGATCAGAACCTGCTGAAGGAGTACTTCCCCATGCAGGTGGTCACCTCGGGCCTGCTGGCTATATACCAGGAGCTGCTGGGGCTCACCTTCCATCTGGAGGAGAAGGCTCAGGTCTGGCATGAGGACGTCCAGCTTTACACGGTGAAGGACACCTCCTCCGGGGAGACCATCGGCAAATTCTACCTGGACCTGTACCCACGGTGAGGCCTTGGGCGAGCCGAAGAGCGGGATGAGGGCAGGGGCAGCAGGAACAGAGCCTGCAAAGTGCCTGGGGAAGAGAAGGGGCTCTCCTGCTGCTCGCAGATGGGTGGCTGTGCAGAGGGAGAGGTGAGAGGTGAGGGAGAGTCCCAGGAGCTCTAGGCCTGTGTGAATCATAGAATCATAGAATGCTCAAGGTTGGCAGGGACCTCTAGAGATCATCTAGTCCAACCCCCTGCACACGCAGGGTCACCTAGAGCACGTGGCACAGGACTGTGTCCAAGCGGGTTTGGAAGATCTCCAGAGAAGGAGACTCCACAACCTCTCTGGGCAGCCTGTTCCAGTGCTCTGGCACCCTCACTGGGAAGAAATTTTTCCTTAAGTTCCTGTGGAACTTTTGGTGTTTCAGTTTCCGGCCATTTCCTCTAGTCCTATCAGTGGCCACCACTGAAAAGAGACCAGCACCGTCCTCTGCACTCCCTCCCTTGAGGTACTTCTAGACACTGCTCAGGTCCCCTCTCATCCTTCTCTTCTCCAGCTGAACAGGCCCAGCTCCCTCAGCCTCTCCTCATAGGGCAGATGTTCCAGGCCCCTGATCATCACTGGGGTCCTCCGCTCTGAGCGGGACCTCACGGCCCTGAGTGGTGGCTCGCGACTGATTTGGTGGGAGCTCCCGTTGACGGTTTCCTTTTCCTTTCCTAGGGAAGGGAAGTACGGGCACGCAGCCTGCTTTGGCCTGCAGCCAGGCTGCCTGTTGCCGGACTCCAGCCGGCAGATCTCGGTGGCGGCCATGGTGGCCAACTTCACCAAGCCCACGCCGGATGCGCCTTCCCTGCTGCAGCACGACGAGGTGGAGACGTATTTCCATGAGTTTGGGCACGTCATGCACCAGCTGTGCTCACAGGTAGGGCTTGGCTAGGCTGGCAGAGGTTTGGACCAGGGCTGGGAAGAGTGCTGTAGCTGTCAGTCAGGGCTGGCTTCCAGGGAAGACCAGTGTTGGCCACCAGCCTGGCTTTTGCTCGCTGTCCTCTTCCCCTCCAGTGCCAAAAGTGCAATATCCTGCTCCAAATCACCTTCCAAGGGCTGGAAGCATCTTGTTGTTTACGAACCGGGGAACTTTGCCATTCAGATCCCGACCACTTGTTTCTGGGCTAGTCCTGTCAGGCTGGGCAGGGGCTGCATCTGCTCTCTTGGGGTTTGTCACCTTTTCCCTGTCCTCCTGCCCTCGGCTCTGAGCTGGCTGTGTGGACACTCTGGGCATGTCTCCTAGGCGGAGTTTGCCATGTTTAGCGGGACACACGTGGAGAGGGACTTCGTCGAGGCGCCATCCCAGATGCTGGAGAACTGGGTGTGGGAGAAGGAGCCGCTGCTGCGCATGTCCAAACACTACAAAACTGGAAACCCTATCCCTGACGAGCTGCTGGAGAAGCTAATTAAATCCAGGCAGGCAAACACAGGTGAGTCCCTGCAGAGGGAAGGAGGAGACGGGGAAGAAGGTCTGGAGGGAAGCAAGGGTTGTGTTCCCAGGGGTGCAGCACCTCGCTGTGGGTGCGAGTGGTCTGGGGAAGCGGAGCAGAGGTGGGGAGAACCGTCCAAAATCCCCTGCTGTGACCCGGCCTCGGGGATGCTTCTGCTCTCGAGCAGGATCTCAGTTTGCCTCCTGCTTCTGCAAACAGGGCTGTTCAACCTGCGTCAGATCGTCCTGGCCAAGGTGGACCAGGCGCTGCACACCCAGACCAAAGCTGACCCCGTGGAGGTGTTTGCCCGGCTCTGTGAAGAGGTGCTGGGCGTTCCGGCCACCCCAGGTACCCAGGGCCGTTTGGGATGGGGGTCCCAGCCCTGCTGCCTTTCAGGGCCAGCCTGGCCAACTCGGCTCAGCAGGTTCCTTTCAAGTCTGGGGTTGAGGCCTGCCTGGCTTACCAGGGTGAACAAAGCACAGTTTTTGTTTTTCACTGTTTCTGCTGACTCCAGGAAAAGCAGGATTGAATCTATACAAAAATGACTGAAAGGTTCTTTCTTGTTTCCCCTGTGATTGTGAACTAGCTGATCCAGAGCCTGCCCTGATAAAGTTAGGAGCATGCAGGTGTTTTTCCCTGCTGTGAGCAGTGCCTGTTTGAACAGCCTTCCCAGTTAACCCTGCCCTTCCTTTGCTGCCAAGGTACGAACATGCCAGCCACGTTTGGCCACTTGGCCGGCGGCTATGATGCCCAGTACTATGGCTACCTCTGGAGCGAAGTGTATTCCATGGATATGTTCCACACACGCTTCAAGCAGGAGGGGATCATGAACTGCAAGGTAAGGAGGGATGTCCCGCGCGTGGTGGGAGCTGCCTGGCTGTGCTGCGAGGGGCAGGGAGGTGGCAGGAGGCACAGGGTGGCTGCACAGCAAGGTCGGTGGCAAGGTGTCCGTGCTCCACGTGTACCCATCTTGTCTCTCCCTGCAGGTGGGCATGGATTACAGGAACTGCATCCTGCATCCTGGCGGCTCCATGGATGCTTCCGACATGTTGAGGAAGTTCCTGGGTCGCGAGCCCAAGCAGGACGCCTTCCTGGCCAGCAAAGGACTGAAGGTAGAGAGCAACTCGCTGCCTTCGGCCTGCTGAGAAGCTGCTCCAGCCCGTTTGAGTCACGCCAGCTCCTTTGTCTACGCACCAGTCCTCCCAGGCCGAGCAAAACCTGGTACTTCTGTCACCAAATGCCTCCTGGGCCAACCCTGACGTGGGCGGTTGTTCCACCAGGGTCCTCTGAGCTCACCGGGGGCTTCAGGAGCTGGGCTCAGCCCTGCTCCAGGGCTCTGCAGTGACAGCTCGGCAGAGGGAATCCAATTGCCTTTGCCAGCCGCCCTAGCCAGGGGCTGAAGCTGTCACTAGCCCACACAAATTACCTGAACTTTGAGCCTCATTTCTGCAAAAGGGTGAGTTTTGGCCTCGTTGTTGGCTGGGGAGGAGGGTGAGAGGAGTTACCAAGCCTGAATCATCGTTTTAAAATCCCTCCTTTTAAGAAACGAGACTTCCCACAGGGCTCGGCTTGTTTTGTGCCCCAGGGTAGATTTACTGTTCTGGCCACAAAGCAAACGGCCTAAGAAGCTGTATTAGGAATCGTGTTCTCCCCGCCTTTGGCAGCTGACAGCTGTGGAATAAAGATGGGGAGATCCCAAAGTTTAAAAACAACCACGTTCACCTCTCCTGACCCCATGTCCTTCCTTGAGCCCTGTGACTGTTCCAGCCTGGGCAGGAACCGCGGCCGGGCTGGGGGGAGAGGCCTGGAGCCTTGAGCCCCCCTCCGGGTGCTCCCTGTTCCTTGGGGGCGTTCGGAGGCAGCCTGGGGGTTTCCTCGGACTCTGCCCGGGCCCCTCTTGGGGCAGCCGGTCCCTGCAGGGCCCAGGTCACCGCCGCAGCGGCTCCGGGG